CCTGGGTAGAGTGCTGTGGCATCGCAGCTCACAGCAACCTCCAATGCCTGGGCTCAAGCGAGTCTCCTGCCTCCACCTCCCAAGTAGTTGGGACCACAGGCATCCGCCACAACGCCTGGCTATTTTTTGGTTACAGCCATCATTGTTGCTTGGTGGGCCCAGGCTGGATTCAAACCTGCCACCTTAGGTGTATGTGGCTGGCGCCTTAGCCACTTGAGCCACAGGCGCCGAGCCCTCAGGCTGGTCTTGAACTTGTAAGCTCAAGCAATCCACCTGCCTTGGCCTCCCAGAGTGCTAGGATTACAAGTGTGAGCCACCGCGCCCTGAGTTAGGCCTGAGGGTCTCACTCTTTCTCAGGCTGGTCTCAAACTCCTGAGCTTAGACAGTCCACACCCCTACCTTTGGCCTCCCAGAGAGCTAGGATTACAGGCATGAGCCACCATACCTAGCCACTAGGTCTTAATTTAAACATATGAAAAGACAAACAAAATAAACTAGCTCGGTGCTCATAGCACAGTGGTTACAGAGCCAGCCACATACACTGAAGTTGTAGCAGCCTGGGCCAGCTAACCAACAATGACAACTGCAACAAAAAAATAGCTGGGTATTGCAGGGGGTCCCTGTAGTCCCAGCTACTCGGAGGCTGAGGCAAGAGAATCCCCTGAGCCCAAGAGTTTGATGTTGCTGTGAGCTGTGACTCAACAGCACTCCACTAAGGGCAACATAGTGAGACTCTGTCTCAATAAATAAATAAATACATAAACATAGGATGATTCCTGAATACAGAAGTCCAAGCAGAATTCCTACCCTAACTCTAGACCCAGAGAACCAACTGCTTCTTCCACTTACATTTCCTTATAGAGAGCTTAAAGGCAATTCAAACATAATAAACTCATAACTGGCTCCCTACCTGCCCCACCCTTTGTGTTAGCTTTGTCCCTCTGGGTGATAAGGCTAAAACCTCAGAGTAATGTGGACTCCTCTCACCAGCGTACACATAAAATAGGATTTGAAAATCCTTTTCGGCTCAGCGCCTGTGGCTCAGGTGGCTGGGGCGCCAGCAGCATACACCTAAGGTGGCGGGTTCTAATCCAGCCCGGGCCCGCCAAACAACACTGATGGCTGCAACCAAAAAAAATGGCCGGGCGTTGTGGCGGGCACCTGTGGTCCCAGCTACTTGGGAGGCTGAG